GTGATAAACGGGTAGGAAAGATATAAAACTTGGTTAGTTATAGAGGCGTGCTGGGCCTTCTGGTGAACCATTATTATTTATACAACTCTAGTTTAGAGATACATCCTTTTGCTATGTAATCTTGTTGAACAACTTGATCTAAAAACTTAAGCTGGTAGAGAAGTTCACATGTTTATCATTTAGATACAGTCTTCAATGTTCCCTTGCGTGTAGGCAGGATTCTATTTTTCTATCAAAGCCTGACACATGTACCATTTCATTAAATAGGTGACGATGAGGCTAAACCATAGATATTTGCTTGCTCTCTTATCATGTTGAGCCACTGGATCTAAGAGTTTAAATAGTTAGATGCCTCCACATGTATTCTCATGTTTGTCAAAGATTATAATTGCTTATAAGTAGTGGGGTCCAAGGAATGTGGTTAAAAAGTTGGTAAAAATATGGGTCCTAGAAAATGTGTGGATAAAAATAGAGTTTGACCAACTTATAAGTACTTATAATCTTTGACCATATCATTCAAATATATCCATCAACTAATCTTACATTTTGCTATGTTTATTCCTTATTTGGCTTTGTTGGACCAATGATATACTGATTCTATAACCAAAATTAGCTGTAGTTGGGATTACCATTTCCCCTTCTCTTCTTTTCCTAGAATGCTATAATTTTAGTGAGTGAATGGAGCTTGAATACTGTCGAGAGGTACTGAATTCTCACGGTCCTTGTATTCTTGCTTAATGATTAGGTGCCTAGCTTGGTGCTTTTCCTTGGTTCAAACCCATTAGCCTTATGCAAAAAGTTTATGCGCACAAATTATAAGTTCTCTCTTGCACTCCCAATATCAGATTTCCTTGCACTGTCAGTGCCTGCATGCCATAGTTACCCCTTTGTTCCTATACATCTCGATATTTTGTGATACAGCACCAATAGAAAAATTAATGGAGAAAGAGAAAATCAATGAATCAAGAAGAAGAAATCAGGGGAAGGGATGGAAGAAGAAGAACGGAGAAGGGGGGAATTTCGCCACAAGCCACCAAAATATTATTCATTCATCACCTACTGAAATTACATCGCAATTAGGGTTAAATAGTAAAGACAAACCCTAACTAGAATGAACTTGGGCCAATACAAGCCCAATTACATAAATAAAGTCCACAAAATAAAATAAAGTCCAACTAGAAATAAAATAGATGATATCCTCATCAATTCTCCCGAGGTGGGAAAAACTCGACCCCGTCGAGTTGATAGATCACTATAGGCTGCAGTCAATCTGATACTCCAAATACTTTAAGTCAAGCCAAGGAGGACGATCTTTCTGACGAACCAAGTAACGAAATTCTATGATTAATGGTACTGAAAACTATAGCTTATTCCTAAGAATATGATCTGACCAAGGGGGACGATCTTTTCTTCTTACCAAGTACTGATATTGGACTTCAAATAACCAATACTTATGCACCTCATATTCGAGATTTTCACATGATTGTACATAATGAGGAGCATAAGAAGCACGTCGATCTATCCAACAAAAAAGGAAGTACTGAATCTTGTCATCATTGATCAATACAACACGTTCATCTAAAATAACATCAATTTTATCTTTGTATGCTGTGATAGATGGTATTGAAGTAGAAATATCAATATAATCAAGTTGGAGGTCCACAAAGCTAGGTAGAAATGGATCATCAAAGGAAGTAACACGGTGTTTGTAAGTAATGAAGTCCTCAATATTTAAAGCAGAGTGGTAGCTAAAATGTGATAAAAGAGCAATGACATGTGCATTTGAACCAACATGTTTTAAAATTTTTAAAGGACCAGCACTACAAGCTTGCAATATAACATGATCCCCAATATTAAATTCAAAATATCGTTTATGCGAATCAGCTTGAAGTTTATATAATGCATTACTTGCGTTATGTTGTTTATTGATCTCAATATGCAAGTCATGAAGATGATATACAAATGTTTCAGTTGACAATGACACACTAGCATGTTGGGACATGGGAATAAGATCTGACGGTCGCCTAGACTTATAACTATGAACAACTTCAAATGGATTTAGACCTAGAGACTGATTTACAGAATTGTTATATGCAATTTGAGCAGTTGGAAGGATCAAATTTCAATTTCCCAAATTTCCTTGCAAAGAGCATGATTACACAAATCATTAATACCTTTGGGTGGGATAAGAGTAGGACACACAATATTTGACTGAGAGGCATCGGGAACAAGGGTTACAATACCTAGACTCATAGGAAAAGTCTGAATACTATCTAAGGGGGTGTCCTTACTGTCATCCAATTCATCAAATTCTTCAAGTTTAGGTTCATAGATTTGATTTTCCAATCACTCATCTCTCATATTCTTTTGTTCTTCAATGAATAAGGCTCGATTAGAACATTTAGAAGAGATATGGCCAAAGTCCTTATAGTTGAAGCACTGCAAATGAGAAGAAGCAAATGAGAAGAAGTTATTGAAGCTTCAAAATCTTGACCTTTATTGTCCAACAGAGGAGGAGCATTAGATGGGGGAGGATCTAGAAGGGACTTAACAGGAGAAGGTGGTGTTGATGAGACGAAAGGGAGAATGTCACTACGCCTTCGATACGAAGAAGAAGGTCTTGGATATCATGACCTTTACACTTTGTATCCCACATGGGAGAAACACTAGACGAGGAAGGCTCTGTGATAGACTTATGACGAGGTGGCGCTAATGACATGGGTGAATGATGGTGATCGCGCTTTTCATATAGAGTACTAATGGTCAACTTATAATCTGATTAAGGAATAAGCGTGATCAAGAGTAGTGACACCTCGAAAGAAAAGCTCATGCCTAAGATCATCTCTTAGACCTCGGCTAAACCTACTCAAAGTCATGGTCTCATCCTCAATGACATGACATTTGGTTCGAAATTCCTCAGATTGTGCAATATAGTCAGTCACTAATCGATTCCTTTGTTGAATAGTAGTCCATTGAGTAAAAACTTCAAAATCTAAATAACTATCAAAAGTAGAAGTGTGTAATTTAGTGTCTTTAAAGAAACTCTCCTTATGATGAGGAAGAGAATGAGTACCGTGACAGTCATAGGCTCGTTCTCGACAACAAATTTGTTCTCTATTACTACGATCGTATCCAAAATATTTTTGATCTCGTCAATGACGATAATGTCTATGATGGGATACTTCAGAATTATCAACGTCGATTGAATGAGAGATTTGCTTAAAATTGCTCAAATTAGCAGAGAGGGCCTTACTCTCCTCAAGAGTAGCAGTCATTTGGGTTTGGATAGCCGCTATTTGTTGGGCGAGTGCATCAAATTGTGAACCATGTTTAGGTACAGAAACTAGAAGTAACAAGACGATCAGTCAACCACTATGAATGCACTATATTGGCAGCTAAATGACGTCCAGTAGAGAGATCAATGAACAATAAGTGCAAGCAACCATTTTTATTTTTTATTTTTAATTTTAAATTTGGAGGATTAAGCAAATCCAAATATTGCAAACTAATACTGTTGATACATGTAAAATAGCAAACTAAAAGTTAATCACTAGTCAAAAGACCTAATCACTTGAAATAGATTGAGGGGTTAAAAGCAAGTCTACAAATGATGAATCAAAACCTCAAGCGGGGTAAGTGGGGAATCAAGGGGAGTTAAGTCATTCAATGATTATGATAAATTGTGGTTAAGGCTAATATTGTTAAGGTAACAGCAGTACAAGATTTTAATTGGTGCAATTTTAAAAATGAAGTAGTACTATAAGCCAATACTAAATAGAGATCAAGAACTTCCTATTGTTTAGTTGCTTGAATTTCTAAAATGTGGACTCCAGTTATGCTTGTGTCCTATCCTTCTTTGCAGATGACTTCCACTCCAGAAGTCACTCCCTGTTGATTGTGATTTATACTGGTTATTGCTCTGGCTCTGTTGTGCGTTGGAGTTATAACTGGCTGGCAAGTGGGATTGATCCCTCGTGTTGGTCGCTTATTTGTCAAATGGGACGTGATAACATGTGTTAAGTGGGATGGTTTATTTTGATTCAAGTAATGGATTGGGTTATTTTAGAAATGTTGGAATTGGGCTAGAAGTAAGTGGTTGGATGATTATGATGAGAAGTGGACTTTGTATGGAAGGGGTAATGGGTTGAGTTAACTGGGTTTTGGGGGGTTATTGGGCTGCGTGGGTTTGGCTAGAGATAAAAGGAATATTTGTGGGTATATTTGGGTTAGGTTGTTAGGATTGAAAATTTGTGAAACAACATTTAACAGCAGCAAACGCCTAAAATACTAAAATTGATTTTTTTTTTTTTTTTTTTAAGCAGAAAATGATGAAAAATACTAAAAATGAATTTTTTTTCTCGAGTGAATATTACCCGTGTACAGTAACTCTTTTCTTTTTTTTTTTTTAATTGAAAATACTAAAATTGAATTTTCGAGCGTGTATAATACCCGTGAACAGTAACATGATTTTTTTATTTTTAACAAAGACAGAGAACTAAAAAAAATGAAAAGCGCTGCTTTTACGCTAAATCTTTTTTGATTGTGCTGTTCCGACAAATTTTGTGAAGAAAATAAGAAGAAATTTTAGATTGTATGAGAGGAAATACCCAAGATTTGGCTCTAATACCAAATTTTTTATACAACACCGATAGAAAAATTAATGGAGAAAGAGAAAATCAATGAATCGGGAAGAAGAAATCAGGGGAAGGGATGGAAGAAGAAGAAGAACGGGGAAGAGGGGGAATTTTGCCACAATCCACCAAAGTATTATTCATTCATCAACTACTGAAATTACATCGCAATTAGGGTTAAATAGTAAAAACTAAAACCCTTACTAGAATGAACTTGGGCCAATATAAGCCCAATTACATAAATAAAAATCTAAAACATAAATAAAGTCCAACTAGAAATAAAATAGATGATGTCCTCGTCATTTTGTCCACCTTTCAATTTTCCACCATTTACAACATTTTTATCAGATAGTTATTCTTATGGTCTGATGACTTTATCACGCATCATTTGCAGATTCTGGAAGGAGATACAGCCATCAATCTCAGAGGTCTTGGATGACTCCTGAGCATGATGGACTTCTTGGAAGTGGTTCATTTCCAAGACCATCTGGTTATGCAGCTGGAATCTCAGCTGCAAAGGTGCGAGCAAATGAGAACTATCAACTTGGCAAGAAGAATGAGCCATATCAACCTCCGCGCTCTTTTAAGGTTAAGTTTCCTGTAAATTCTATTTGATTAATGGTAGCTCAGTTTCCCAGGTCTGAGTCAGTGAGCAATAGTTTTCTTTCTTTTTCTGTGTCCAAATTGCTATAAAAACCTCGGTTCAGCCATGTGCCATATTAAGAAAACTGTGGTCATTTCTTTAAGCATAATCTTGTGCAATCATAATTATTTCAGGCAATACCTCACTCTCGGAGAGAAACTGATTCCTATAATGATGAAACTTTTGGTTCAACGGAGTACACAAGTGATGATAGGGCAGAAGAAGAAAAGAGGAGAAGAGGTATGTTTCCTTTCTACTTGGAGCCGTGTGTGGTTGGTACCTTTGCTGCTGCTATATTGGTTTAATATGTCTTCTACTTCATTCTTTTTGTCATTGCTGAGTTTTATCTTGACTTCCTTTCCAGATTCGTTTGTATTGATGAGAAAAGAACAACAGAAGTCTCTTCAGGAGAAACAGAAAATGAGTCTGGAGAAGCATAAAGCTGGCAATGCCTCAGACCTTTGTGAATCTTTGGAGGGTAACAAAGATGAAAAGGGACTTCTGGGAGTGTTTAGTGAATTGGATGTTTCGACTGCTACTACTCCAATTTTGAGTAATGAATCTGAAAAATCCTCCTTTTCTTCAAATGCTTCTAGACCACCTGTTCCACCAGGTTTTACTAACAATATTCTGGAGAAGAGTTCTGATACGAACTCTTTGGTTCCATTCCCTTTAGCAGAGGTATGTTATTTTTGGTTACTCTCTATGATTGATTGTCGGATTGACCATTGGCCAATAATCTACTTAAGTAACATAGCCTCTCATATTCCCCTTTTATAGTTCTTGTGGTGCCCTTGTTTGTAATGTGCTGCAATCTGGCTGCCTAGTTTTTTGTTCTTTGCTAAATTAATTAGTCAGTGACGAGCTTGAAAGGAATAAAACTCTCTTTTTCAAGTGATTTACTCTTTTTTTTGGCATTTCTTTGTTGATTGATAGATGGTTTTTTCATCCTCTTTCATTGCCACATAACGCTTAAACAAATCAATTGATTTTCGTTGCTGGCTACAATTATATTCTTTTCTCTTCCCCCCTTTATTTTATTCTAGATACTATCAAGAAAGATAATTTGTCCATAATGTTTTTTATTTTCCTTGTCCAAATTTGGCCTACTTTGGATACGATAGTCGTCTGATTTTTCAACAGTTAGTTATGCCCTCGGAAGGTAGTGGCCAACTAAAAATTTTCTCTCACTCTACCTTAACTATTGCAAGGGAAACTTACTCTGGCAAAGAAGTTGAAGATTGGGACGCACTGTTTATTCTAAGAATGTACATGCTAATATCAGAATATGCGTGTACCCACCATTGATAAATTTGTCAAGTGGAAGCTTTATATATCTAGCCAGGATCTTAATACTTTTATATGGTATATTGCTCTGTCAGAAACTTCTATGTCTTTGTTCCTCACGTGTATCTAATTTCTTTTGCTCTTACAGATTGGGAAGCGTGTAGCAGGGGAAAGACTTCTGCATTTTAGAACCAACCCCATCCAAAATGGTTATGTTGATGGTTTAGATCAACAGTTATCAAAAGAAATTAGCTCAATTGATGGGCAAACTGAAGATAAGAATAAGTGTGTACCACTTCTGAATGAGGGGAAGATTGTGAATTCACGCTCAAGTTTAGGTGTGCCTCACGAGAAAGTCAACATGGAAGATCAGTGTGATCCTACTAGTTTTTCATATGACCATGGAATTTTGAACGAGTCTGAACTTAATGCCAAAGCATTGGAGGACAAAGTTGTTGGCAAGTCCGAGGGAAAATATTTGTCAGTTCTGGACAAATTTTTTGGCAGTGCACTAACGATGAATGATGATAGCACTGTGGATTCAGCTGAGGTAGTCATACCTCTAATCACTTTTCTTTTGAACACTCTTTTATTCTGTCTAAACCCCATCACTCTTGCTTGCTGCCTGCAGTAGCTCGTGTTTCTCAAGTTGACTTGTACCTGTCCATGAAAAGTATAATCGTGTTGTAGATTGTTACTTTCCCTCATTATTAGTGTTTGACCCGAAATTTTGTCATAGTGTAGAACATGTTTCCAACTTTCGGCTTCAACTTGACTATAGTTTTTCAGATATTCTTGCTTTATCAAATTTTGAACCAATGTGGACCAGGACCAACACTTTTCTCTCCTATTTATCGACAAATTGGTCTTTATGACTTCTTTTGTCACATGCCCTAAGTTTAAAATAAGTAAATAGTTATTCTAAGTAACTTAATTGTTTCCAAACATGTTGGATGCATAGCTTTTTTCTTACTTTTAAGTGAAAAAACTTGCATAATAACTCTGAACTTATCGTAAAAAAGAAGTAATTTACTTATTTCCAATTTTGGCCAATAGAAAAGAATTATTTACTTGTAAACTTATTCGCTTACAAAATTTACTCGAAGGTAAACTTTTAATTTAAGTGTAACATGCTGATCATATTTGAACAAACACTTACTGAGTTGGGTAGATTTAGTCTGTCAAGGTCTAGGGTGATTGATCTTTTAGGCCTAGCCAAATGAACAGGATTCTCTCATCTATGTATTGACATTCATGTAGGCCAACTTACTCCTTTTCTTTTCCTTCCCATTTGCATTGCTTGCGTCTTCCATTAAAATACTTAATATCTTGCCTTTTCCCTCTAGCATCACTATGGCAAAGTTCCTGACACATGGAGCCCAAAATGTACTCAGTCCTCAAAGTTTGCCCAATGGTTTTATGAAGAAGGTATGGACGATGAGTATTTTGCATTCTGTTTTGTGAGTAGCCTAGAAAGATGTGATTTACACCGTGCTGTTCCTTTGTGTTGCATTACAGAAGCACAGTCAGTGAATGACATCTCAGCTGGAAGACCGAATGATTTACTCTCGTTAATTGTCACTAGTGATAAAGAAAGATCACAAGTTTCTGCTGCAAAATCTGAGCACTTTACACATGAGAGCTCCGAACATACTAGTAAGTTCTCAGTTGACATGCCCTCAGCAACTAATGGCATCTCTGATGAGGTGTTGAGCAGTAATGAAAAAGAAGTAAGTTCGACGGTTCTTACATGCGAAGACCTTGAACAGTCAATTTTGTCAGAATACAGTCAAAAGAATTCGAACACAATGACACTGTTGAAAAGCTGGAGTGCTTCCAGCAAAAATTTTGAACAGCCTAGAGAACATGATGATCATGCATCTCAGCACCTGTTTTCATTGTTGCAAAAGGGATCAGACCCAAATACTATGACCCTGGGCCCCATTCCTGACATCAGCTTTGGAGACAAAGTACTAGTTTCCGAAGAGCGTGAAATTGGAACTGCAATTGATGATCCTAAAGCTGAAGAGCACACTAGTAATATTCATTATTCTGGAAAGAATCTTACACTTGAAACGCTCTTTGGAACAGCTTTCATGAAGGAGCTCCAATCAGTTGAAGCACCTATTTCTGTCCAAAGAGGCTCAAATGCATCTGCGCAAGCTGATGCTTCGGAGCCTCATGGATTATACTTACCGTTCATGGAAAATGGTGTTTTTTCTTCTACTATTGATGAAATTGGACTTCAAAGACCAAGTCATGAAAATAGTGTTTTGAGCTCAAATCACAGAGAGCAAGCCAACCTGGCCAAGTCTGGGAACTGGCTAGGATTTGATGATTCTCAAATAAATTCATCAAAACACCCGACTGAAGTAGTGGCCAAACATGGTGGCTATAGTGGGGCAGTTGAATTTCAGCTGCCTGAATATGAGAGCTTAATTTCTGTTGGAGATTCTCTGAATCCCCAGTTATCGACATTTATGCCAACCGGAAATTCAAGTAAAAATGAGTTCTTGTCTTCAAACGTGCATGTTGACATAGCTGAGAATCTGGCAGCTATGGATGCTGTCATCAAAGACAAAAGAACCATTGTAGGTTCGGAAAGTCTGCCCTTTGCACCTGGTCATTATGAACAGACAGATCCTGAGATTCCATGCCGCAATATTCAGGTCCAACCATCACATCCCCAGTTTCAGCGCCCACATATGAGTCATGGGAGTCCATTATTCCATCCATTGGATTCTCATCCTTCTCACACGAGTTCCCAGACGAAGTTCATGGGTCCAGAGAGTATGTACAATCATGATGGTACAGCCAATACTCAATTTCCTGCAAATATTATTCGCCTTCCTTTTTGTCATCCCAATTCAGGGATTGCAGGGTACAATCTCCATGCTCATCGTTCAATGCTGCATCCTGTGCCGATGACAGGCAATCGTCCCCAACTGTTACGTGACATTCCAAGGGGTGCTCCTGTGCCTTATCCTGGCAATCAGACAACCAGTTTTATTCAGGACATGAACCAAATGCAAGGGTTTCCTTTTGGACCCCACCAACCCAACATTGGCAGCGTTGGAATGCCAATGCCAGGTAGAAACCTCCCCCTTGTTACAGTTTTCTTTTTGTGTCCATACGGCTTACTATAGCTGAGATATATTTATACCACATTCTTTTTGGTTGAACCTTTTCAATTCATATTAGGGTAAGTCAATAGCGCCACAGCAAGGCATTTTGGAAACATCAAATCAAAGAATATTTGTACAGACTATAAAACTTCAAAAAATCAAAATTCTGGATCTAATCTCCTTGGAAATTGAAAAGAAAGAGAAGTAGGTCGTGGAATTGTTCTTTGATTAGTGAAAAACAAATTAAGAATAAGTATATCTACCTTTTCTTTTCTTTTCCTTTTTTTTTTTATTAAATTTAATTACTGCAGTTTATTATAGAGTAAAATTTATACTAAGATCATTCTATGCTGATTCCTGAGGATATAAGAACCTAGTAACCTCTTCTTGGCTGTCAAAACGCCTGCTAATTATCATCCTGCTTTGAACTCCTTATTTCATCAATGTGCCTTTGATACAATATTACTAATTTCTGTACTTGCTTTTATCTGCTAATTAGTTAGAGCTAAACCTTTCTTAGAATAATTATAAACATCCACAATTACATTTTGGTGTTACTTGACTCCTGTATTTATTATGTTGTCCTTATTTAGTTATTACCTTGCAGCTTTAATTGTTATAGAAGTCTACATGGGAGTACTTAAATCATTCTATATGATGTAATGAGAATGTATCAATATGTTCACTAAATCCTCTGTTAAGTTTATGGCCAAAGGTGGTTATCCTGGTTCTGGAACCAAAAGGAATTAGTGGGCTTTTTGTGTGCTACAGAGTGGTGGTGATGTAGGACGGGAAAGAGAGAGAGATGGATAGAAAGAGAGAAAAAAATATGGGACAAAAACACAGAAGAATTTCAATATCACAGTAAAAGTCAAATCAATTGTCTATAATAATTATTGTAAGACAATGAATCAGAATCTTTTTCTTACTTTTATGCCTAAATTAAGTGCGTATTTTGGCAAGACTTAAAAGAAATCTCCATATTTAGTCAACAAAAATTATGTATTATGGTAGTAATTGGTGATTATTGCCAGCCTAAGTAATCTTCTTGTACTGACATAGCATATCTGGATATTAAATATCAACAATTTGGATTATGACGTCAACAAACTACAGGCTAACAGAAGTTTCACTGAAGTTATTTATTTATTTATCATCTTTAAGGAATCAGAAATTTTTTACCAATCGAAATGGTTTTGCTTTTGGCCAACCTCAAGTGCACGAGAGTAAAGCTTAGTTTGTTGTGGTCAAAGAAAACCTTATGGTAAGGGGAATAAATTTAAAGAAGTTCCTGCATCCTCAAAACATTTAATAAATATCAGGTGTTCAAACTGTTATTTTGTTTGATACATTAGATACAATTTATATTAATCGGTCAACTGTCCTTAAGATAATTATTATGGTTATCCTGTGTCACTAGGTAGAAGACATAGCCTTTTATTGTTTGAACCATGCTAGGAAAAAATTGGAGATGTCAGCTGTAGCCTGTAACGATAAAATTTGAGTGGTTATATTATAGTTGAAAAATTTATAGAAATCAAAACATTTCAAATAATGAATCACGTGTTGGAAAAAATTCTAATGAAATACTTCTAAAATTTGTTGAATTAAGTAGATAGTACCTTTTTCCACTTTCATATATAGTAAAATGATGGGTAGTGACATGCATGTTGACCGAAGTAAACAGAAATCACAAGGGACTAAATTTTTTATTAACTTGTTACACCTAATTGTTTGAATTTTCTGGTGCATTGCATCTTTTTCTTGAAGTGGGCAATGACGGTTGGCTACCTCATCTCATTGAATTAGAAAAATGTTTGTTGTGTAAGAGGAAGAAGCATCTATCAGAAAACCAAATAGGAATTTTTGAATTTTATTTATTTTCTCGAAGGGTAAAAATTTAGCACCTTTTGTGTCCTTTCATCTGGAAAATGGATCTTATTCAAAAATTCGTTACAGGTGCTTGGCCCTTCATGAAATGAGCATTTAGTGCTTATCGTTCTTGGTGTGCTTTTATGCTTGGATTCATATTTTATATTTTTGAGTTGGACGCTAGTTTTGTGGTTTAACATTGTTGCTGATAATACGAGCATATAACTGCCAAAGCATGACTCCTACTACTCATAATTTGTGCGTATTATGCATATCTACATTAATATCTGAAACAAGAAATTCAACTCAATCTGAGATTTGTTTTGTTTTTTCCCCATTTTGATTAGAAATTAACAAATGTTCCCATTATTGTTCCAGCTCCTGATCATTCGTTTGGTAATCCTCCTGAGGCATTCCAAAGGCTAATCGAAATGGAACTCCAGGCAAACTCAAAGCAGATCCACCCTTTTCGTGCTGCTCACAACCAAGGAATTTATGGTCACGAACTAGACATTCGTTTCCCGAGGTGAAGGTTTGATCATGATCACTCTTATTCACATTGACACTTGTGCCACCGCAAAACAGTCTCCACATTGAAGGATCTTGTCCTGGCATACCTGTTTGGATTATGTATTTATTATGGAATTTGCAGCAGTTTGAGACTTTCGGTTTTATATTTTCTTAGGAGTTGAAAACAAAGGAATGTAAAAGAGGGAGCCCACGAGTTTTATGATAGAGCTATGGAAGTATCTTTGTTAAATATTTCAGCTGTTTTCTTTTCTATTTTCCTTGTACAGTATTTTTTTTTCCTGATTTTTTTTTGTGAAAAATCGCATCGGTAGTGCATTCCACTTTGTTGTTTTTTTTTTTTTTTTTTTTTTTAATATTTTCTTGATCTCCTTGTCCAGTGGCGTGGACGGGGAGAAAGCATGCGAAAGTCTTCGGCTCGATTCTGAACTAATTTTTGGCACATCAGTTGATACAACTCAATCGAAAATAAAAGGAATAATGTTATTCGTCTCTAGTAGGAACGACCATTGGTCTATGTAATAGTGGGATCATTGCTATATTATTTCAGGTCTTTTTAATGTAAATTTTTTGATAAGTGATTTTTTTGAAAAATGTGTAGATTAAAAAAAAAAATTATCAGTTCACGTGTAAAAATATTTTATATTTTATTGAGATTTTGTATGGGAAAAATTGAACCCTTCAATTTAAAATGAAGCTAATTTCAACATGAAGGGTACTTAGAATATGAAAATTGAACGTATAAATTCTTCCGAGTTGGTTTTCTAATTTCTAATAGGTTAAACAACAAAATGGTCTAGAAACTCGAACAAATGGTCCGAAATCTTAACGGTGAAATTGGAACCAAAGCAGAAAAACAGTCTACAACAGGAGCAAGATCAAGAAGTACTCCAGACTGGAAAAATACAGCACCAATTACAATGTGTAGGTAAATTCTTCCTTAAGTACGAAAACATGGTCGCAGTTTTTATTTCAGCAGCAGGTCACTCATTTATACATCAAGTTAAGCAACAATCAATGACCTCGACAAGAAAAGAATCGAAGCCTGCTTCTCATTCATTTGTAGTCGTCTCCTCGGATGGGGCAGAACTTCCATCTATGTAAATATAGAAGCGCGGTAAGATGCAAGGAAAAAAATTAGTAAAAGATGCCGTTTAGGGAGAAAAATCGGGAACTGAGGCTCTCACCATCCTACCCGCGTGTGATGATTCATAAAACACAACTTACTTGTGAAAAGCCAATAAAACAAAAACGGCAAAAGGAGGACGCAAAATAAAAAAATATGGAAGAATCTAACCGAAAATGGCAAATCCATTAAGAAATAAAATCAATGATAATGCATACCTTCACCTGCTGATGGAGCATAAGGAGATTTACGGTAGCGTGTTTGCTGTTGAGTTGGCTAGAACATTGAGCGCAAAAAGGAAGCAAAAGATACATCAGCAGATGATTGTAAAATAAAATGAAAAGCAAGATGACATTTTCCATCTCAGCACTCATATTTATTTAAAGTTTTAGATGTAATTAATCTTCATTACCATCCAGATAGTTTTTAAGGAGGCGAATTATTCCCATATTTGGTAAAAAGAATCAGGATTGGGGAAGAAAAGTTTTAAATTCAGAAATAATATAAGCCCCCGTTTGGCCCCCATTTCTTTGGAATTGAAATGGATGGAATAGTTTTTTTTTGTGAAAAATGAATGGTTGAAAAAGAAGAAAAAGTTTTCGATTTACGTATAATATTATTTTACGTAAGATTGTGTGGCTGAAAATAAGAAAAAGAAAAATGGAATATAATGGAATGAAAATTAATGGGGGCCAAACGGGGGCTTATAATAGTGGATTCAGTTAAATCATCCATTCATTGATGTGACTATAAAATAATATTACATTCCATTACATTTTATTTTTTTCTCTTTTATTTTCAATCACACAATCTTCCATAAAATAATATTACACGTAAATTGAAAATTTTTCCTTCTTTTTCAACCACTCATTTTTCCAAAAAAAGCTATTCCACCCATTTTCATTTCTACAAAATGGGGGCCAAACGGGGGCTAAAGCTAAATCAAAATTTTAGATTAATATCATTGTAATCGCATAAAAAGATAAATCTATGTTCTAAGCTCATTCTCCCAATCAGGCACTTCTAGATCCACCAATATTTGTCATTTAGGTGGAGAAAAGAAATCTTAAAGCTGGAAGTTAAAGAATTCAAAAAAGTAAACATTGAAAAGGAGGGAGTGGGGAATAGCTTGAGCTAAGGTTTATTTGCACTAGAATCCTCCATTTTGGACTCATCAGTTATGTCACTAAGCAAAGCAGTGAAACTTTCACAACGATAGCAACTCATCATCTGATCATTTCGAGCAAAATAATCATTTGCGCCGACAAATTCTGCTTTTGCTGATTTTCTGGTTAGCCAGAGAATTAATGATGGACGTTGAAACAGAAGAAGCAATTTGCAGCAGTATTTAGTTAAAGATGACGGACAAATCATGCCACAGTATATAAAAGGCCATTTCACTCCGTCATTAGTAGCATGTACAGGTAAAGTTCACCTGTAACTTTGGTCGAAGAGCCTCAAGTGGTCCTTTGGGCTTCTCTGCACCTTGCTGTCATCATATAACATTGATGGATGTTAGGTACTGTTTGACTATGCCAGTTTTTAACTTCTTTAAGCTCCAAGTATGAAGGTGCCAACAAGAGGAAGTACCTTTCCCAAAGCCCAATCAGCAGAATCAAAGTAAGCACGTTCATGATCCTGATATCAAATGTATATATTTGAGAAAAGGATGGAGCTGGACCTGAAACTATTCAGGTCCTGGCAGCTGCACTTCAATTAAAAAAGCAAAATTGAAAGTAATAGTACAACCTTTGAAATTAGTGGGGGTTTCTTGGGCATAATTCCCCCATATTTCTTCTTAACGGCTTCTTCCTATAAAGAAGGGAGAAATTTCGTCTAAGAAAATGGCACGTATAAATCTAGGGATACCACAAAAGATAGTGAGTTAAACAAAACCTCCTGCTGGGTTGATGGCATGGACTTTTCACTGTCCTCCATGACGACTTCTACTTGCTCTTTGGCTTCCTCTGTGCCAGACATATTGTTTCTAGAACTACCCAGTGAATAACACCTGCAGTATTAATTTCAGAAGTGGTTATAAATAAGATTCATTTTCGAAAAAGATCAGCTATTGACTAAGTACTCATTGTCAAATAAAATTTAGAGTGATGGCTTCGGGAAAAAAGGGATAGAGATTCAATTTCTTGATTAGTAGTTTAGCACCATTCCCCAATCAAATCAAAGAATTCTCAAACTTTATTTTAGTTTACTGGTCTTAACTCATCCAATAAGAGCTCCTTAAAGAATATGCATTCATATATATATATATATATATATATATATAATGCCAAGTTATAGTAGTAAAAAAATTGAAAAACAATAAACATCCTCAAAAGTAAATGCCAATGATGGTAGTTTTACAACCTCTGAAAAAGTGAATGCCAGTTAATTGAAGGAAGTTCTATAACCTCCTTAACCTTTACCTCCATCTGTCTCTAAACCCCATTTTCCCATTTTTGTTATTTCAGATAGGCTTCCACTTTTACAGGTAAAACTTCACTTTTTGCGTTCTTGCCAATCAGAAGTATTTACTTCAAAGAAAATATAATCAGTTGAACTTTAGCGGTCAACACAGAAAATAGGATTTCACAAAACAATAAATAAATAAAATAGAAGATGATTCACATACGAACAAAAGCAATCAGAAAAGGCAAAATAACATGCATGCCGCCATATCAATGTATTATGGTTCCTACTCTCAGGAAAAGCGATATCATTTATTAGGATCAAGTTGATCTCACGTATACTCCAAGGAAATTTAATTAATTTGGAGATTGGTTAAAAAGAACAGATAAAAAAAAATGCAAGATTTGTGTATAATATTTACTGATCATTAAAAAGCAAAAGATACTGTGTCAAAGGAAGTGATAAGTTGGGTGTGATGTTACAGAAATATTTACGAGACACGTCATAATAATATCAAAGGTATATATGAAGAAGCAATTACGAGTGACAGATATATTTGGGCTCTACTAATAAAGGTTCTTATCAAAATTCCACCTTTAGCCTGCATCTTTTTGTTAGACATATAAAAAATAATGATAGTTGACGTCTGTTATTCACTGGTAACACTGCTTTAGCTGTTTAGAATAGGCTGGATATAAATTATCAGTCAGATTTCTTAAACTGCACTTTGGAATTCAAGAGTATCAGATTAAGACATCTGAGAATGAATTCATAGTGTTCATTTAGTTACATTAGGCACAAAGATAATATTGAATCCGAAATAAATTATCTGAGTTTACTCAAAGAGTGGTTGCTATTAGTTTGTGTTTAAAATTAAATTACTAATAAGGGAATGACTGGAAGAAGCAGGATATAGACAAAATTTACATGGACTGTACGAGAGCAGAGGCTTACCACCGACTAGCAAGGGAGGAGCCACCTGGGGTTTTGGTCCGGGTATTTCACCAATTATAATTGAGGGCCGGCCGGTTCTAAAGGCAAGGAGTAAACCATAAACAACCACATCAAAAATTCAAGAGAAAACGCTATAGCTAGAGGAAGATTACCATCAAGAAACAACAATTTTGGGAAGAAAAAAAAAATCCAAGGAGCTAGAAGAAGAGAATCTTGGATCGAGGTTGTGTTGCAATCAAACCATTCAGAACAATCAGATCGAATGCGAAATCAACATATAAAGCCCATTTCTACGCAAATAAATCTGAATCTACCTTGATGAAGAAGTTGAGTAGAAATCACTGCAATGCGAGATCCGCTTGTCCCCTCCGCCAGTTGCTCTATCAATACACATGAGCTGGCCTGAGTTATATATATATATAGAGAGAGAGAGAGAGAGAGAGCAGGTTTGATAGAATAGTAGATCGACGAAGGATGTGCGGATAAAAAATAAGAAATTTTTTTTTATTTATATTTAATATTAGGGTACTGTTATTCTTATCCATATTTTTATAATTACATTTCACGTCATTCCTAATAAAACTTTAAAAAAATATTATTTATATTTACGGCATATTCTAATCATCCCTTTATTAAATTAATTCATTTAAATACTATATATCCACATAAATTTTATATATTCATCACACTTTAAATATATCCCTATCACTATAAATTCGACTAATCCCTAAAACCATAAAATCTTAAGTCAAATGAATGAAATAAGAACAAAGCTGAGCTGATTGAATATATATTAACATGATATAAATTCTGTCCATTATTGAAGTTCTGAGTATTAAAATACTTCAAACAACAAAGCTTAAAGAAAGAAAGAAGAAGAAAGTTTGATTAAGCAAGCTGAATTTCACTAACTTGGCTACAAATATTATTCTTTCTTGATTAACTGATGAATTGTATCAAATTCCGTTTTACATTTTTCGAAATACGATATGATTTTCGACACAGAAATCACATTTAGGACCACCATTACCAATAATTATATTAATTTATTTTTCTCTATCTATTAGGATTCTAGTTAAGAACGAATTAAAATAAAAACTAGTGGACCAATTTAGAGTTATCTATTTTTATTTAATTTTGTATGTCTATTTAAGTAAATTTACATAGGATTTAAAATATAACAATATTTAATTTTTAAAAGTAGATGTATATATAAAAAGTGTGGATAGAAATAGCGGTGCCCGTAATATTATTTTAATGAAAATTATGTGATAAAAAAAAGATAGAGAAAAATGAATTTTGTTAAAAATGAGAAATCAAACGGGCCTAACAAGTTTTGTTTTTCGATTATTTAGTGTTATTAAAAAGTAATTTTTTTCCAAAAACTTTTAAGGCCCTATTTGATAAGCACTTCTTTTCCGTGGAAAATGGAAATTAAATTCCACTTCCCACTTTTTAGCTTGTTTGATGGTAGAATTTTTGTATGGAAATGATTTTCCCCAAATCCTTGCCACATCAGATTTTTCTAGCTTTTTGAGGAAAGTGGGAATTGCTTTTCCAGACTTTTGCCTCTTTTTTTTTTTTTTTTGGACAATTGAAACAAATTTTATGAACAATTGTAAAATAAGATATCCCTTAAATTGAAATTTTTTATGTAAAACAAATTCAAACGTACATCAAAAGATAGATTTTTTTTGGATGATTTTTGATTTTCTTGATTTTTTTTTTGGACAATGGAAACAAATTCTAAGAACAATTGTAGAAGTGAATATCATTTAGATTGACAATTTTCATGAAAAATAAAGTCAAACGAATGCTAAAAGACACTTTTATTTCAACATTTTTCATGCGGAAAATTATATCAATCAAACACTATTAATTGACAATTCTCAATAAAACAATCTCTAGGTAATTTAATTCTCTAGAATTCGTTTTCTTTCAATCCATATTCATCTTTGCAATCAAACGAACCCTAAATTTATTTTTATTTATACTTGTACAATTTTAAAATTAAATGAAGATAATTGATTATAACTAAAAAATTAAATAAGGATGAATTAGTAAATGAGCAAGACAAAAATGTTCTCATTGAAGTAACATCATTATATAATTGAGACAAGAAAATAAGGAAAATTAACCTAAATAAATATGACGGATGGAATGGTAAGATTGGATTTTAATTGGGCTTCACATGGCCCATAAGAAAAACACTACCCAATGGACTTCTATCTGATTTTGATTGTGAGGTTATTTGATCCACTCAAGTGAATTGCTCAAATAGTTACTAAACTTTACAGCAGGATTTCACAGGGTTACTGAACTTTAAAAATCATCTCATTCATCGCTAAACTTTCATTTTGTATCTCGTTAGTCACCAAGCTCAATTTCAGTTAAAAAAATTGACGAAGTGTTGACGTGGTTGGTTGATGTGTCAAGTAGTGGATGCCAAGTCAAGCAAATGTTATAACATGGATTTTTTTTGACCTAAAACATGTTTTATTAAAAAAAAATAAAATAGAAGGAAAAATTGAACTAAGTTCAAAACTACGTTCACCGCCACCCATCATCAATTCCCACCTCTATAAAACCACCATCCTGCCACCTAGGCCACCGGGTATCACCGCCACCAATATCGACCTCACCCACTCAACAAATCTCGGCCTCACGTCGCCCCCCCCC